GAAGGAGGTCTTTCACATACACTTATCTCTCAGAACTGAGCATGTGGAGAGACGTTCGTTCATCTAGCACAAAGGGAACGGATTGCAGGAGAAAAACTTACTGTGGTTTCTCAGTGTTTTTCCTAGTGCCGGTTTGAAATTCCTGCAGTTTTCACCGTAAAACCGAGTTGTAACTTTTACCTCATCATATATGAATGGAGTGGAGTTTGCAACTGAAGAGAAACTTTGTGTTCCCATCAAGGTAGTGGATGGACGGCTTTCACACACGCTTTACTCTCAGAACTGAGCATTTGGGAGACGTTCGTTCATCTAGCACTAATGGATCGGGTTGCAGGAGAAACACTTACTCTGGTTTCTCAGTCTGTTTCCTAGTGCCGGTTTGATGTTCCTGCATTTTTCACTGGAAAACCGAGTTGGAGCTTGAACGTTCCCATATATATGAATGTAGTGGATTTTGCAACTGAAAAGAAAATGTGTTCCCATCAAACTAGGTTAAGGACGGCTTTCACACACAATTATGTCTCAGAATTGAGCATGTGGAGAGACGTTCGTTCATCTAGCACAAAGGGATCGGGTTGCAGGAGAAACACTTACTCTGGTTTCTCTGCCTGTTTCATAGCGCCGGTTTCAAGTTCCTGCACTTTTCAATGTAAAACCGAGTTGGAACTTGAAGTTTCCCATATATATGTATGTAGTGGAGTTTGCAACTGAAAAGAAACTTTGTGTTCCCTTCAAGCTATTAGAAGGACGGCTTTAACGCACAATTATCAATCAGTACTGAGCATTTGGGAGACGTTCGTTCATCTAGCACAAAGTGAATGGCTTGCAGGAGAAACACTTACTGTGGTTTCTCAGTCTGTTTCCTAGAGCCGGTTTGATTTCCCTGCAGTTTTCACTGCAAAATCGAGTTAGAGATTTTCTCTTCCCATATATATGTATGTAGTGGAGTTTTCAACTGAAAAAAATATGTGTTCCCTTCAAGCTAGTTGAAGGAGGGTTTTCACACACACTTATCTCTCGGAACTGAGCCTGTGGAGAGACGTTCGTTCATCTAGCACAAAGGGATCGGGTTGCAGGAGAAACAATTACTCTGGTTTCTCAGTCTGTTTCCCAGCGCCGGTTTGAAGTTCCTGCACTTTTCAATGTAAAACCGAGTTGGAGCGTGTACCTAACCATATATATATATGTACTGGACTTTGCATCTGAAATAAACTTTGTGATCTCAACAAGCTAGTTGAGGGATGACTTTATCTTACACATATCTCTCAGAACATAGCATGTGGAGAGACGTTCTTTCATCAAGCACAAAAGGAACCGTTTGCAGGAGAAACACTTACTCTGTTTTCTCAGTCTGTTTCCTAGTCCCGGTTTGAAGTTCCTGCAGTTTTCATTGTAAAACCGTGTTGGAGCCTGTACCTCCCCATATATATGTATGTAGTGGAGTTTCCAACTGAAAAGAAACTTTGTGTTCCCTTCAAGTTATTTGAAGGACGTCTTTCACACACACTTATCTCTCAGAACTGAGCATGTGGAGAGACGTTCGTTCATTTAGCACAAAGGGAAAGGGTTGCAGGAGAAACACTTACTCTGGTTTCTCAGTGATTTTCCTAGTGCTGGTTTGAAATTCCTGCAGTTTTCACCGTAAAACCGAGTTGGAACTTTTACCTCACCATATATGAATGGAGTGGAGTTTGCAACTGAAGAGAAACTTTGTGTTCCCAACAAGGTAGTTGAACGGCGGCTTTCATACATGCTTAACTCTCAGAACTGAGCATTTGGGAGACGTTCGTTCATCTAGCACAAAGGGATCGGGTTGCAGGAGAAACACTTACTCTGGTTTCTCAGTCTGTTCCCCAGCGCCGGTATGAAGTTCCTGCACTTTTCAATGTAAAACCGAGTTGGAGCTTGTACCTAACCATATATATGAGTGTACTGGACTTTGCATGTGAAATAAACTTTGTGATCTCAAGAAGCTAGTTGAGGGATGGCTTTCTCATATACTTATCTCTCAGAACAGAGCATGTGGTGAGACGTTCGTTCATCTTGCACAAAGGGAACTGGCTGCAGTTGAAACACTTACTCTGGTTTCTCAGTCTGTTTCCTAGTGCCGGTTTTATGTTCCAGCAGATTTCACTCTGTATCCGTGTTGGATCTAGTACCTCCCCACATGTCTGTTTTTTAGCCGCATTTCCAATGGGAAAGAAACTTTGTGATCTCAACAAGTTAGTTGTGGGATGGCTTTCTCATACATACATCTCTCAGAACTTAGCTTGTGGAGAGACATTCGTTCATCTAGCACAAAGGAAATGTTTGTAGGAGCAACCCTTATTCGGGTTTCTCAGTCTGTTTCCTAGTGCTGGTTTGATGTTCATGCAGCTTTCAGTGTAAAATCGAGTTGGAACTTGTACCTCCCCATATATATTTATGTAGGGGAGTTTGCAACTGAAAAGAGACTTTTTGTTCCCAACAAGCTAGGTGAAGTGCAGCTTTCACATACACTTACGTCTCAGAACTTAGCATGTGGAGATGCATTCATTTAATTAGCATAAAATGAACAGGTTTTAGGGGAAACACTTTCTCTGGTTTCTCAGTCTCTTTCCTAGTGCTAGATTGAAGTTCTTGCAATTTGCAATGTTAAACGGAGTGGACCTTGTACCATCCTATAAGTATTTATGAAGCCGAGTTACCAAGTAAAAAGATAATTTATGTTCCAAAAAACATAGGTGAAATACGGCTTTCGCACACACATATCTAATAGAACTCAGCATGTGTAGAGACTTTCGTTCATCTAGCACAAAGGGCATGGATTTCAGGACAAACTCTTTCTCTGGATTCTCATTCTGCTTCCTCGTGCCGGTTTGAAGTTCCTGCAGATTTCACTGTAAAACCGTTTTGGTGCTAGTACCACCCCATATATATGTATTTAGCAGAGTTTCCAAGGGAAAAGAAACTTTGTGATCTCAACAAGTTATTTGAGGAATGGCTTTCTGACACACTTATCTCTCAGAGCTGAGCATGTGGAGAGAGGTTCGTTCATCTAGCACAAAGGGAAAGGTTTGCAGGAGAAACACTTACTCTGGGTTCTCTGTCTGTTTCCTAGTGCCGGTTGTAGTTACTTCAGTTTTCCCTGTTAAACGGAGTTGGACCTATTACCTCCCCATATATATGTATGTAGTGGTGTTTCCATCTAAAAATTAACTTTGTGTTCCCTACAAGCTAGGTGAAGGACGGCTTTCACACACAGTTATCTCTCAGAACTTAGCATGTGGATAGACGTTCATTCATCTAGCACAAACGGAACTGGTTGCAGGAGAAACCCTTACTCTGGTTTCTCAGTCTGTTTCGTAGTGTCGGTTGTAGTTTCTTCAGTTTTCCCTGTTAAACGGAGTTGGACCTAGTACTTCCCCATATATATGTGTGTAGTGTAGTTCCCCACTCAAGTGACACTGTGTTTTCCCAACATGCTTGGTGATTGACAGCTCACTTACACACTTAGCTCTCACTATTCTGCATATGGAAATACGTCCGTTCACCTAGCATTTGTGGAAGGGTTTGCAGTATAATCCCTTACTCTTTATTCTCAGTATGTTTCCTAATGCCGTTTTGATATTCTTGCACTTTTCATTGCAAAAACGTTTTGGGACTAGTACCACCCCATATATAATTATATAGTGTATTTTCCCACTGAAGGCAAACTGCAAGTTTCAAACAAGCTATGTGATTGAAGACTTTCACACACACTTCATCTCAGATTTGGGCATTTGGAAAGATGTTCTTTCATCCAGCATAAATGGAATGGTTTGCAGTTGAAACAGTTACACTGGTTTTTCAGTATGTTTCCTTGTGTGGTTTGAATCTCATGCAGTTTTCACAGTAAAACCGAGTTGGAGTTTGTACCTCCCTAACTGTATGTATGTAGTGTAGTTCCCCACGCTAATAAAAATGTGTGTTCCCTACAACCTAAGTGATAGTTGGCTTTTGCACATATTGAACACTCAGAACTGAGCATGTGGAGAGGCTTTCGTTCAACTAGCATAAATGAAATGATTTGCAGTAGAATCACTTACTCTTGTTTCTCAGTATGTTTTCCTTTGTTGGTTTTAAGTTCATGTCTTTTTCTCTGTAAAACCGATTTGGAGCTAGTAACGCTCTCTCTCTCTCTCTCTCTCTCTCTCTCTCTCTCTCTCTCTCTATATATATATATATATATATATATATATATATATATATACTGTATATATATATACTATATAAAATGATTATATATATATATATATATATATATATAAAATGTCGTTTCCATCTGAAAATAATCTGTGTTTTCCCAAACATTTAGCTGATTGATGGCTTTCTCACACACTTATCTCTCAGAATTGAGCATGTATAGTGACGTATATTCACGTAGTATAAAGGGAATAGTTAGCAATAGAAAGACTCTGGTTTCTCAGTGTATTTAATAGTGCTGTTGCAGAGTTTATGCAGTTTTCACTGTAATTGTGAGTTAGAGCTAGTACCTCCGCTTATATATGTATGTAATGTAGTTTCCCACTGAAAAGTAACTCTGTGTTCTCAACAAGCTAGTTGATTGATGGCTTTCACACACATTCAACTCTCAGAATTGAGTATGTGTAGAGGCGTTCGTTCATCTAGCTTATAGGGAATGTGAAAGCGATAATCATTGCCTATGGTGGTAAGAAAACAATAAAGGGAGCATTAATTTAGTGTCTTTATAGCTATGGTCAGCAGACATGAGAGAATTTCATTTTCAGCAGTAGATTTCTTTTTTTTTAAAGTTCAGAAATCTTAAATCTTTCCTGTAACTGGATATATATAGTGAATGTCTTAAAGTCTTTGAGCAAGTTCTTTAAAGCAGAATAGTTACTTTGCTTTTGGTCTTTAACCTAAGGGAATA